GTAAATGATTTTACTACAAGAGCAGCAGGTGCTTAATGAAGGCATTAACATTACACAAACACACACACACAAATATATGTAGTAGCCATAATGGAGGTAAAATAAATTGGTTAGAAAGTCGGAGTCCAAGAACTAATAGCTCGATTCTGCAGACACAAATAGTAAATACACACACATGTACATACACACAGTTGATTAACAGTTGAGAAGCGGGACCAAAGAGCCCAAGGTCAACCTTCGCAAGCATAGCTAGGTGAGTACACACACTCGCACGTCATTTATTCGATTTCTCCTTGAAGCTCTTTTATCACCCCTCCCCTACGTTGGTCATTATCCCTCCTCCTTCACCGTCTCCTCGCCCTGCACCACCTCATTACAAGTCCTCCTCAAGGCTTCAACACCTGATTTGCTCGGCCTTCCTTGAATTGCTTCTTATCAGGCCTCGTCTTGCCTTGCAGGAGGCTGCATAATGACTCGCTGAGACGCACATCTTCTCATTAGGAGCATCCTAGGAGTCATAATAAGATAATTTTGCTGCTTTATCTGCCAGCATCTTCTCATAATATCTCTAACCTTCAGTTTCAACTAGATCAATATATTCAAAGCCTCCAAGGCAGCCAGAATGTAGGGTACTTGGAGCGTGTACAGTATGTGCAGTGAGATCACAGTATAGCATATACCAGAGCCAACATTACGTATTGCGTAATTAGTATATTTAAAAACTAAAGTATACTTTACCTCGAGTATACATAGAAACTAAATCCTCAAGCAGCTTGTAAGAGGATTATAATATTTCGTTTTCAGTGCTTTCTTTCTTTAAATTGGATTGTCAATATATATACTGGTTTAGCGGGTTCCCTATGATTAGTTTGTAAATTGGTTTGTTTCGGCATGTCTGTTGTTGTGTCTGTCTGTCTGTCTGTCTGTCTGTCTGTCTGTCTGTCTGTCTCTCTCTCTCTCTCTCTCTCTCTCTCTCTCTCTCTCTCTCTCTCTCTCTCTCTCTCTCTCTCTCTCTCTCTCTCTCTCTCTCTCTCTCTCTCACACACACACAGACACACTGTATCTCAACGTTGCACTTGTCTTTGCTCTCTTTATATCACAATTTATAGTCTGCCGATTGTATCTAAAACGTTATCACTTTCTTACTCATTATGAGGTGCTTGCAAAGGTAAACAGCTATGGTGGAACACATGAACGTATTTCCAGGCATTATGGGTTGCAAGTAAATGTAACTTTTAAGAAGCTGTCATTCACCCTGGCTTATGTGCATAAGAAAAATCTTATAATGGTTACAGTTAATACATAAACATTATCGATTTTTTCATCATTTAATTTTCATTTTACATGTGGATTTTATTAGGCAGCAAATCTAGCTTATCTTCTTGTAACATTAGAAAATAAAAAGTAAACAAGACCTTCTTAGGACGACTGTTAAGTAAGATATTGGTGAAGACTGTGTCACTACTCTCATTTAAATATGTACACGTCCACCTGCAGCCTCCAGTGATCTCTTCTTTCGCGACTGCTGTGAGGAGTAAACTTGACAGTAATCTGTAAGAAGCCCAGGGAGAATGCTTTGTCATTACAGGAACAGCCAGGAATCAGGAAAGAACTGTAGAACATCATTACTACTTAGTTGATGGTAATAGTTTAAATAAATACTTTTTAAGAAATTGAGAAAAGTGTCTTGATTATAAGTTTTCTTTAAACGATGAGCAATATTGTTTTAGAGGTAATAGAAATACTGATTATTTCATTAAAATGAAGCAAAAGACTTGTGTGTGTGTAGATATGGTACATACATCGTAGCCTTGGATATTGTTGAAGCCATCGGTAAAGTCTTTCATAAAGGACTTAAGTCTAAGCTTAAGCGACTTGACGAAACTTGGATGCTTTATTTTTATTTTCTACTATACTGCTGAAGCCTTTAATAAAGTTTTCCTCAATGAATTTGTCCCTGAGGTTCAGAGATTTAAAGATCATGAATAGTTTTAGGTAAAATTTTTGTATTTTTTGTTTTAACTACAATACTTAGTAAACCTTCAAGGGTGAGGTTAATAGTATGTATCAAGCAAATGATTCAATTAACATAATGCACTAGAAGGATGTTTACCCCAAGGAAGTGTGCTCCAAGGAAGTGTACTCCAAGGAAGTGTACTCCAAGGAAATGTGTAGTGTACAGCCCCGGGCTGTGTAACTAAGTGTAGTATACCACAGGATACAGTCGTATATTATTTTGTGGTAGTATACCGCTCTACCTAATTTACCCCCCTTCTCTTCTCCCTCATCTTTCTTCCCCTCTCCTCTTTCTCATCTCTCTTCTATCCTATCCACCTTTCTCCTCGTCTCCTCCCAACTCTCCATCTTCTCCCCCTTTCCCACCCTCACCCCTCTCCTCCCCTTGTATGTCTTACCTCAACCTCTCACAATCTCCTCCATTCTCTTCTCTCACTATTTTCATCTCTCCCCCTTTCCTCAGTGTCCTCCCCATTTCCTTCTCTCACCTATCCCTCTATTTTTCTTTTATCTCCCTCTGCTCAGTCTCCTTCCATCTCTTCTTCTTCTCTCCATTCTCTCCTTCTCCCTACTTCCACCCCACCTCTATCTCTCTCAGAAAATTTAGTATCATGAAATAGTGAAATATGACTAAAACTCTACGGAAAACGTATCCCAAATACAATATGCCATGAAAATCCAAGGGGGGTCACCACCCACATGAGAAGTGTTACGTCTAGTCCAACCCCCCTCCTCCTCCTTGGTACAATTTTCACCAAGTCTGAAATTAAACTGAGGAAGTGTTTTACATAATTCTTTTATGTTTACTCCCGCCGTTTACCCGAGCTTATTTATGATTTTCTAAAAAAATTGTATACATAATTATACATAAAAATTCATGCACGAAAATTAAATTGTCTGTTGTTAGTTGGTGGCCAGTGGGGGAGCTGGGAGGGGTGGGGGGTGGGGGGGGAATAGGAAGAGTTGAGTGGCAGGGGGGGGGGAAGAAGGAAATTGGGAAGATGGAGGAAGAGGAGGGAAGAGAGAGTAAGAATGTGAGAAGAGGGAGGGGAAAGAGAAGAGGGGGAATGGGGGTTCAGACAGATTATTCCGGGCACCGCTGGGTACCTCTTCGATTTTATAATGCAAATTGTACATATATATATATATATATATATATATATATATATATATATATATATATATATATATATATATATATATATATATATATATGTATGTGTATATATATATATATATATATATATATATATATATATATATATATATATATATATATATAATTATTTACAACATTATATATATACATATAATATTATATATATTATATATATATATATATATATGATATATATTTTAGCTAGCCTGTCATGAAGAACTCTATGATTTGAGAATCAGTGTCTTAGAAAACAATATAAGATAGCCAGATATCTCGTGAGATACTACCTCGAGGCCCCGGGTTCAGAGCCTTGCATCGAGACTCTCCAACGCTTCAGATAACATAAGGACAACCTAAGCATTAAGAAGACTGCAGAACGCCTAGCTGCCCATACGCGTCAACTCCTATTTATATCCACCCAAATTCATCCACATCGATGTCTGACGAACGCTTGAAACTATCAAATGATCTCCCGTCTCTTATTTTAGCCCGTAATTTGTTCTGTAAATTAATAATCATGTTTGCAAACCATTATTTACCCAGGTTTTTTCCTAAACCTAACGTGGCTGCTGTGTGTGTGTGTGTATTCACCTATTTCTGCTTGCGGGGGTTGAGCTTTAGCTCTTTGGTCCCGCATTTCAGCCGTCAATCAACTGGTGTACAGATTCCTGAGCCTACTGGGCTCTATCATATCTACATTTAAAACGGTGTATGGAGTCAGCCTCCACCACATCACTGCCTAATGCATTTCACCTGTTAACTACTCTGACACTGAAAAAGTTCTTTTTAACGTCCCTGTGGCTCATGTGGGTACTCAGTTTCCATCATTTGGGTACACACGTTTCCGTGTGTGTGTATGTGTGTGTTCTCTAAAATCCTCATCATTGAACAAGCTGCTTGGCAATGGCTGACACTGGTTGGCGATGATATTCACAACGGAGGCAAATGTACACATGGGGAGTACATACACAACAGAGGCTAGTGTTCACATGGGGAGTACATACACAACAGAGGCTAGTGTTCACATGGGGAGTACATACACAACAGAGGCTAGTGTTCACATGGGGCGTACATACACAACAGAGGCTAGTGTTCACATGGGAGTACATACACAACAGAGGCTAGTGTTCACATGGGGTGTATAACCAGACCACTTATGAGCAATATTCTCCTGGACGAAATCAAGAACCTATTTATCTAGATTGGTACAAATGCAGATACTGGCATAATTAGCATTCTAGAAGTAATAAACTATACGAGAAATCGCATAAATAAAGCTCTTATATCTTGGGGTCAGCATACATTACGTTATCATAAGACTAGATCAGAATATGCTGAGATAACTCTTTGACTGATATGCTGAGCGTAGAAACAAATGTAAATCTATTCTTTACAAGACACCTGAGTGATGCTATACGCGCAAGGAAATTTCCATGCCTGCAGAGGCGTACATCATTTAGATCCTTATTAATACATAACACTCAACAACTCCCAACTTCACTCGATAATCAACTTCGGTCGATTATCGAGTTCTCAACATCAATTTAGAATTTAGGTTCACGAACGTATCTAAATCAACAATAAAAATTATCAGGAGAAAACGCTTAACCAGTTTGTCTATCTAACACATATATTGGACAGATTAGACATGAGGACAGGATAGAATAGATAGATGCCCGGAGTGAAGGAACGGTCTCCAAGCCCTTAGACCATTGGGAAACCTATGTGGAGCTGCATGAAACATTTCAATCGCTGTGTAGATAATAGTTCCAATAGCTTAATGCTTATTATTACAATCATTTGAAGGAAGGTATAAATAGAAAGGTTAACGATCAACAATAATTGTTATTATCACTTGATATGCCACTGAAAAAATTAATACAAACAATATATGAATATAAATTACATATAATGAGAATAACCATAGATATACAAACATTTAATAGTTATATACAGATTGTAGTATATAAAAATTAGAATCCACATATGAAGTTGTAAAAAATAAAGATAAACACACATACACACACTCTTATACACATTCACACACACTCGCAAACTAATTAGTGGATATACAAATTGTTAAATAACAAATGTACCTTATGTTACAAGACATTCTCAACACCTGTTTTTCCTGTGTACTATATATACATTTTGCCTACATTATACAAGATTCCCAGTATCAAGAAAACATAAAGGAGGCATTTGTGCTGATTTCACTTTGAACATTTCATACATAAATCATTATTTTTGTTAATGTAGTATTCCATTTATCATATTGCTCACAATAAAGCTAAAATAGGATATGTTATTGTAAACTTACACTGAAAAACAAAATATTGACTTTCCCAAGCTAACTTATACATTTATGTTCCAAAATATTCTTGCCTATTGTCTAATAAAAAGATATTAACGTAACATTAAGTAAAACACTCAAATCAAATTAGATATAAACAGTTTGGTCTTTCCTAACTGCTGTTTATTCTGTTCTCATAGGCAATATGTCCTCACAACATTACCAGGGATGACATCCCTGTATATGCATATACTTATTAAGGACCAACATTAAAGCCTTTTATCTTTGCTTCTGTTTCTTATTCTGAGAGAAAGAGAGAGAGGTAAGGCCCTCGGCTGGCTCAGAGTGTGGACTCCCCTGATAAATACAGGTAGCTATCGATCTTCTCATGAGGCAGAGGCAAGTACCCCAGCGAGGTCTGGCCGCACGTTCCAAAATTGTTGTCAGCGACGGTGGGATTTGGACTCCGGTCGTTTTCCCCGACGTGATTTTCCTTTTGTTCTCTCTCCACTGCGGTGTATCTTAGTCCATTCGTGCTTGGATCAAGGGAACGAGTGCGAAAGAGCTTGAGTGGGACGTCAGTGGTGCTTGTGATATGTAAGAAGCCTGTGGTCGAGGAGGAGGACTCGAGTCTGTTGTGAGGCTCGTCATTAAATCTGAAATAATGTAATAGGAAAACGTAAATATCTGAAATCCAGAAATTTAAGAGACGCCTTCAGATTAAATGTATCGATAAATATAACTGTACTCATTATTGGAAATATAGTTTTTACCTAAGTTATTGGAAATGTTGGAAAGAAGGAAGAATAGGAATTGATCAAGTTGACTAAAAAGCGGAGTTCACGAAGTTCAAACTTATCAACAGCAAAACAAGATGACACGGATGGAAATTATATACAATTGGGTCACAAATATCCCTCGGGGAAAGAAGTTTGGCGTAAGAATTGTAATTTCAGAAATCTATTAGATGAAGCTGACAAAAGTAAATCAACGCGTAATTAAAAATCCAAATTTCACAATCGAAACAAGATTATTGTATTGATGCAATGCACTCAGTGACGGTCTGTTGTAAATAGCTACAGGGCACCGAGTCTAGATGCCTCCAAAAAGCAGTTTAATCAAACAACTTTTAGAAAGCCACTTTTCTCCTTACAGAAAAAAAGAGTGCAAACATAACCTGAAAGCTAACACCGTAGACTGACAATTATGAACATATTGTCTGCAGCGTGAATGAACAGACAAATTTCAGGGTTGTCTTGTGGGATGTAAAAAAAACAACCCTTCACTATAACACTACACTGCGCGTGAGACCACCGCCGAGTATGCTACCACCAACTGAAGGATCACGCAAATATACGCGTCAGTTCTGGTCCTGGAATTGAGAGGCAAGAGAGCAACAGTAAGTGACTCTGAGCACCTCGCCTCACAGGAAGGAGGGAGGAGCAGGTGGATATGAGAGTCGGTTCAAATAAGATGATAAATTTTCCACTTGGTAACATTGTATATGATACTAAGTGAAGCAACCTGGATAACAGAGAAACGGAAGATATCAATTGATTTTGCAGACGAGATTGAGTCACAGAGGCGCGAGGATTTTTTTTTAATTGGTATTGCAACGTAATGGGCAAAAAAGAGGTTGTTCGTTGACCAGTTCTAAACATTTTAGAGTGAAAATATGTTACTAAAAAAATGAAAATAGTTGCATTAACCAATGAAGAATAGCGGCTCAGATTTATCCACGTTTTCTATGCATCGTTAGGTTAGGTAAGGTGGGTTGTTAGGGTTCATACGTTTCCAGTTAGATTAGCACTTTGTATTTAGTACAAAGTGGCAATTTTAGAGAATTTGTAGGTACTTGGTACGCCGAGTCAGCGGCTTACCAAGAGCCGTGGACCCTCCATGGTGATGTTGGGGTATTTTGGGCTGACGACCTGAATCTTATTGACTGCTGATGATTTATTATCAGTATATAATGATCAGTAAATCATGATGGATTATTTCCGTGTGATCTAACTGATTTCAAATCTATTTCTTCTCCAATGGAAGACCGAATGTAACTTGACCTTCATCTTGACCTTTACTCTAAGTCTCTCTGACGTCTGAGACCTGATTTCCCTTTCGAGTCCTGACCTTTCCTGTTTTCTGACCTGACCTGTAAGGTAATTATATATATAAAAACGCTAAGCTAATTCAACTATATATTATTGTTAATATACTCATTATTTATATTAATTATTATTGTTATTAATATTTCTATTATTTTTAATATAATTATGTGTATTATTATTATTTTTATACAAAAAAAATCACATTAATGTGATATATCAATGACAAAATTCCACAGGAGTCATGATAAGGGTTCGAACCTGTACGCTGAGTGTTCCCAAACGCGCACTAGTCAAGTGTATCACCACACTCGACACGGTTCAGATGACTAGAGCGCGCCTGGAACACCAAGGTCCATAGGTTCGATCCCTTTTAAGACTCCTGTGGATTTATTATTTTTATCAACATTACTTTAATTATCATTATTAAACTAATATGTATTCAAAATAATAATAACGACAAGCATTTAAATTAATTTTTTGTAATTATAATAAAAATTCCATAATAACATTGTTAATAACATTAATAATTATAAATATTTTAAGTCTATTATATTAATATTACATTATAATTAATTATTTTATCACAAGTATTAATTTTAATATAGTTAATATTTACATATATATTTACTTTTATATTAAAATAAGCAATAACGTTTTATTGTCATCATTAGTCCTACAATAACTTTTTTTTTCTGTCACTTGTGAATTACTTGCAAAATATATTAGAAATTATATTGCTATATTGACCTTTCTCTTACGGGGATGTTTAACTTGTTGGAGTCCCGGTATGTTTTGGTGCTCAATCTGTGGTACTAACTGTGTCGATAATTGTGCCTATTAGGGGTGGAATGAGCGACTACGTAATGACTGTGACGGTGGAATGGATCATCTGTCTGGTTATTAGAGTTACTGACTTTGATAGTCAGAAGACTGGGGGAGTAATACTGATTGGAATGAGACAAGTGCATCATTATCTCACAGTATTCAAGCTGAGAACTCATATACTACTGACTTGCTGTTCTGCACACTAACAGGAGCTGTAGCTTGACTCTGAGCTTCAGTGTAAGCGTGGGGAATTAGTTTCAGTGTAAGCATGGGGGTATAAGTTTAATGGTATAAGCACTGTAGCTTATAATGAAATAATTTATTAGTATACAAATATTTAAATATATATAGGTATTTATTTTATCAATTTAACTTGTTACACATAACCTAAAACTACATTTCCACTCGTTATTTTTTTTTATTAATAATAGCACACTGTCATATTTCCATCTTTACACTTTAATACATATAGAATTTTCTGTCAGTAATTCCTTGTTACTTTCGTGTCATTCCCATGATGCCCCAACATTCCATCACAGCCCAGAAACTATACACAAAATACAACCTTTCACACAAACACCATTAATCAACAAATGAATTACGCCAAAACAGGCAATTAACACAATATCAAAGCCCACGTTATCTCCCTCACCTCTGATTCCTGGAGTTACGAGAGCTGCCGAAGGCCGTGCTGTAGGTGTGTGCCCTCTGCAGTCCTGACGACTGACGCAGCTTCAGCAGGTGCTGGGATATCCGGCTACGGCCGCAGGGCACAAGGTGGTATAGGACGTTCAGGAAGCCCTCGCGGAACTTGGCGTTCATCCAGCAGAGAATGACGGGGTTGTAGCAGGTGTGGGACATGGCCAGCCAGTGGAAGACGAACCACAGGTGGTGGAGATGTGGCCAGAACGACATCTCCTCCACGAAGTCCAGCACCACCTGGCCCACAGACGGTCACGCGTTAAGCAACCAATAGGCAATAAGAAACATAGATAAGTGGATTTAGAGAGATAGATGTGTGGAGAAAAACTGAGAGGGATACATTGAGAAGGAACTAGTGGTGTACTTTGAGAGAGAAATACAGATAAAATTTGTGAGAAAAAGAAATTAGGAGAGAGGCAAAGAATAAGAGAAAGAGACTTAAAAGAGAATGGAGAATAGAGATTGTATATTAGATACTGATAGAGATTGTTGGCAGTATTGTATGAATGATAGTGATACTATCATAATACACTAATTATAATTAGTTATCTGCTACGTCAAACAAAAACAATGATGAGTGAATATGGACCAGGTGTGGCCGGTATGAACGCATGTATTGATGTGTGTATTAAATTATTTGTATAATGGAATTATGGCTTCACAAAATCTTCTTTTCATTCTCCACTCCATTCACTTCTAAACCGTGGTCAAATTTGTCTTGGTCATGAATACTTCAACAGCAAAATAATTCCCTTTAGATTCAACACTCTCCCGTTTCAATGAATAATTCGTTATTATCAGTGTAAGGAACCATTCGGAAATTATTATTCGTAGCAATAAGTACATCTTGCTTAAAATGTAATTTTTTGTTTACTAATATCCTCAAACTGTGCGATT